ATAATATCGGGTTCTAGCTCTGCACAGGTTTAAAAGTGCGTTGTACTTGACTGGCCTCCTAAGGGAGCTTTGGAGACAGAAGCTGAAGTTAAGCCCAGGGAATGTATACCAGTCTTTCTTGGGGAAAAAAATCCAGGCTGTTGACTATCAGACCAGTGTGAGTAAGGAGCAAGTAAAGCAGTTGTCAAAAAAAGAAAATCTAAGAAGAATTAATCTCCTAATTACAGAGCTACCTATGTCTTTATTAAAGTGCTGATACAGAGAGTGGATGGTCCATAAAGCACCAAATAAAGCGTGGACAGTACACAAATAATTGAATCAATTGGTTGTGTGAAATAACTGTCAGTCTGGCTAAACTCCTGCTTTATAACCCTTTTTAAGCTTAATTTTACTATATTTATGCATACAAGAATCTCAGAAAGTCCTAACAGGAAAAAAAATGACCAGGGAGTAGTTTTGGGGAAAAGTGGATATTTTAATTTGCGTGCCATGCTCCTGTAGGAGTTTACAAGCTGAAAACTGCATTAAAACCAGAACTTTGTTCAGTAATGTGCAGCCACAAGAAAAATTACATGGAGCATATCTCCAGCCTACAAACAGTTTATTGTTAACATGGCTGTGAGTGTTCTGCCCAAAATGAAATCCTGGCCTTTGCTTTGTTGTCACACTTGAGCAGAGGTAGAGCCGGAGGCACAGAGCACCAACTCTGACACAAAGCCACAAAGCACGTGCTGGATGTGAGCTACACAGCTGTGGGACTCCAAAACCAGCCCCTGCCAGAGCTGAGATCACATCAGTAACAGGGAACAAAGGTGGATGTGGTGAATTTGGTGTGGCTCCGTGGAGACCTGAACCAAAACCATCACATTCTGCTGGTGATGCCGTGGAACAAAGGCATGAAGGAAATAATTCAAATTGTGGAGCTGAATCCCAGCACAAGGACCCCTGAATTTGTTGACAATCATGTGATTACCTCAGGTCTCTACACCATCTAGATGTAGCTGAGGAGCCAGAGAAAAAGCATCAGAATCAGGTGAAAACAAGGGATATGTCATTTTTATCCTGTGTACCTGTTCACCACAGCCATCACTAGAGACTGGAGGGGCTAGTTAAGAGTACATTGACCTGTTTCTACTGCATGTTAGAAACTGATTTGACAGTATTAATGTTAATTATATTAAATTATAATTATGGGGATGGAAAAGGCAAGCTCTTTGGGTGTCTGCAGGCATGCACATGGCAGGCAGCATCAAACAAATAGGCTTTGTGGTGCTCAGATGCCTTTGTTTGCTCTTAATTTGGACAAACATGCAGCCCTTAGAGAAGAGCACATTGGGAATTTCATATATAACTCTCAATTAAATTGAATTGTGCAAAGCTTATTTCTATAAATGAGAAAATGAAAACCTTTTGGTTTGAGAAGTACACAAAACTAAGTAAAACTAATGATTTATTGTTCCCAAATTAAAGCCATAAGTGCTCACACTACAATTGAACTGTAGTGGTTCTTTGTTCCAACACTTTTATGCTGCTGAAAGATGATAATTTATGATCTTTGAAGGAAGATTTGTCTTAGCTTTAGGTATTTATTGTATAATTAGCCCATCCATGAACAAATCCACTGTGTGCTAATTCCAATATTCCTCCAATGTGTATTTATCTAGGTCTTGCTCACGTGGCAGGAATGTCTTTGCAAATTATTTGTGATTAATACAAATTGTTTGTTTTCTTCACTTGTCAGTAAATATCATGGAGAAGTTTTTAAACAATTAGGTTTGGGTTTTTTTTCATACTTTTTCACGGAACTGTGTGAGTCAGGTCCTGGAATTCCAGACAAATATCAGCTCTGCTGTATTTCAGCCTTTGCCTTGGCTTGTGTTGACACTTGTGTCTCCACAGTCCCTTCTGTGCAGTTTTCTCCTTTTTGCCCCTTGCCAAATATTGCTGGCAAAACTCTGATTTTTGCTATAGATATCAGTCCAGTTTTTCAGAAGTGTCCTTGAATGATCATTTTTAGATTGATTTATTAAGCAGACTGTAGGAACTTGTGTCCTGTCATACTGCACAGACAGAAGTTGTATGTTTGAATTCTCACCTCAGACTTTTAGTAAACACTTATTTTTTGTACTTTTTCACTTTGTGTGTTTCTAGGTTAAACAAACTCAGTTGTAGATATTTGTTGTGTTTGTTCCAGATGTTGGTGTGAGAACAGGAAAAGTTAAAAGTTAGCAGAGCTCAGACACAAGGCATTGAATTGATTATTTTAGGAAGGTAGAAACCACCTGCAATTGCAGTAAAATATCACTGTGCAGCCAAAGCTTTCTTGCTCCTGCTCTGTGTCTGCTCCATTTGTGACTTTTCTTAATGAAAGAGAAATTACAAGAGAACCAGTAAAAAACATTTGCCACAAAGCTTTGCAAGAATTGGAATTTTATTATTTGTTATCTTGCGTGGTTGGGAAATTCTTCAGAAATTTAAAATACTCTGTGTTGGAGCATCAGGATAACCTCACTGATGAGTGAGAGTCTGTTGTAATTTCCAGTGTGAATTCAGATTTTCAAAGAATTAAGCTGGAAGATAAAAGATTACTCCTGAGCTCAAATTCCTGGAAATGTCCTTCCAGGGTTAAATTAATCTCATCTCAGAGTTTGATACCGATGTGAGCGGTGTGTGCCCAGAAAAGGGGGAAAAGAGGAAAAGGGGCCTTTGCATTTTTACACCATGTTTGTCCCTACAACTTCAAGGGCATTTTTAACTTTGCCCATATGTACATGTGTAATAAAGCAGCACAAGGATGGCAGATCTCCATCGAGGATCACTTGTCTGGTAAGGTCACTTCTCCCAGCACACTGCACATTCCCACTGGGAATGGTGGGAGTAGGAGCTGGGATCCCCCATCCCAACCAGCCCCTCGAAGCTGCTTTTGTGATAGGTGTGGCACAGAAATGCTGCTTTATTAAACAGCCAAATAAATGACTGAGGGCTGACCTCAGCTGAGGCTTTATCACTGCTGCCCTGCTGGTGAACTCTCAGGCTGAGCTTTTCCATGGAATTCAGCATTTCATCACTCCTGGGTGGAAAGAGTTAATGCTGAGCTCGGAAGCTGCGTAGAAACACAAGACCTGTGACTCCTCAGGGAAAGGCTTCCAGTGGAGCAGCAAAACTAATCATTGGTTCAGCTTTTTAGTTGTTTTTTCAAATTTCTTTCTTGCTGTAAAGCCATCTTGAACTTCCAGTAAAATGTAAAAGTATTCCTCAAGGGAGAAATACAGTGACCAAGCAGGGGGGATGCTGCTCCCTGGTTTTGCAGCTTCCCTAATCTTGACAGCTCTGGTAGTTGCCTCTGGGATAGAAAGAACCAAAAAAAAAAAAAATAAAAATCAGATCAGTCCATAAAGTTCCCCTTGGTTTGAAAGCAAAACCATCTGCTGGAGCCATGAAGTTAGTTAGGGAGTTCAGTAACAGGAAAGCCTGCAGTTGCTCGCTGTTCTCTCTGAAACAGGCAGGAGCTTTCAGTAAGAATTGAATTGTGCAAAGCTTATTTATAAAGGGAGCCAGGAGATGTGGGGAGCATGAGGGCAACAGCAAAATGGGTCAAAATGATGGGTTTGTTTCTTTGTTTTTAAGTATAAACTAGAGGAAGAGAAGTGGGTGCTGTGATTTAATATTCAGATTGTACTGTGAATCCTCAGGGGGGAGTGTGTGTTCTCTAACAGGAGTTTGGACTAGACAGACACGTCCCTCAGTCATGGAATTCAGTCTGTCATGGATGTAAGGGAGCAGATGGAGGTGATTTCTGTATTATCTGAAAACTGGTGAAGACAGAGCTGAAATAACTCCTGGGGCTGTCAAGACGTGGGTGTGCATAGGCACAGACTGGGGATTGCAGGGAAAATGGAGGATCTCAGGATGGTTTGGGTTGGAAGAGACCTTAAAGATCTTTTATTCCACCCTTGCCATGGCAGGGACACCTCCCACTAGCTACCCCATCCAGCCTGGCCTTGGGCACTGCCAGGGATGGGGCAGCCACAGCTGCTCTGGGCACCCTGTGCCAGGGCCTCCCCACCCTCACAGGGAGGAATTTCTTCCTGATATATCTCATGGGAAGATCTTGGTCCTTTATCATAGAAGCACAGAACCGTTAAGGTTGGAAAAGACTTCCAAAACCATAGACTCCAAGCCAGGCCCACAAAACCATACCATGAAGTGCCATCTCTGCTCACTGTTTGAGCCCTTCCAGGGATGGTGACTGCACCACTTCCCTGGGCAGCCTCTTCCACTGCTTGACCACTCTTTCTCAGTGAAGAAATTTTTCCTAATATCCAACCTGAGCTTCCTTTGTAAGAATATGTCCTAAGTTTTCTGGCACTTGGAGTAATTCTGGAATAAGTTGGGCATTGAGCTGAATTTGAGACATTGCAAGTTTGAGAATATGGACACTCTGTGATCCAGAGGTGTGAAAAATGGCTCTGTAGCTTCAGATACGCACAAAACAGGATGGAAATCATTTTATTCCATAAAATGTATGGATATATGCAAAGCTGTTTACATTACATAGGCGCCATTCTGTATTTATGGCTACCATTGTGTCTGCTTTGCCATTAAAACTCCAATTATTGGGGGTTTACTACATGGCTGTAAAACTTTCTAGTGGTTGGAAGCTTGACACATAAAGGTCAACCCTGCAATAATACAGTTTTTAAAAATTTTAAAAACCTTGATTATAAAATGTGGGAATATAAAAATACTTTGGTATTTTAAGAACTTCAGGTAAAAAGAAGAGCCAGTGGGTTATCCTGGTGGCTGTATGGATACAGCCAAGTCAAAGAGCAGGAATCTTTTCATCCTTTTAATGTCAATAATTGATCTCTTTCTGTATTCTAGAAAATTTGTTACAGATTTAGGAAAACATACATTATTGCTGTGTCATTAACTTACTTTCAAAGCTTTTTTTTCTTTTTATAATAAAACTTTTAACTGATTTTGTGTGTTTTTTCCAGTGGTGCCACCAGGGAGCCCTGGGCCCATCACCCGGCACGAGTCCTACGACAGCTTGGCCTCCGACCACAGCGGGCAGGAGGATGAGGAGTGGCTCTCACAGGTATGCTCTGGGGGCTTCCAGCTCAGGAAAACAGCCACTGGAAGTAAAAATCACAACTTTCCTCCAAGTGGGAATTAAACTCCCACAGCCAGGGCATTGCTGTGTGTAAAACTGACCCCACTGCTGAGCGTGGGTATGGATCTGATGGTCCCAAAGCAGGTAACACCCCAGCATTTCTGACACACATTTCTGACACAATCACATCCTTGGGAAGCTCAGCATGAAGTGGGAAGTTTCAGCTGGCAGCAGCAAGTGACCTGCCTCCCTTTTTCTCCTGGCGTGGTCCTTTTTGGACAGGGATGAAGGGAGTTGGCAGAATGATGGTGCCTTTTGGATGGTGACGTTTTTCTGACCATAAAAAGGGGGCAGTAGCTGGTTTACTTCCTTCCTTTTCCTGGTTATCATTTTCTACTGAGAATTCCTGTGAATTCTGGCCAGATATAAATACTGCATTGCTTTAAAACTATCATGCTTGGTGAAAGCTTTTTATATCTTTAGGTCTAATCTTTGTCTTGTTATCCAATCTTGCTTTGTCTCAGCAATGAAGCTTCTCTGTAAGAGCTCAGTAAATACTTGACCATTTGGCTCAAAACAGAACCTCAGTGTAAGAATGTAGGTCATGAATAATACACTGAGAATTAGTTCCTGTTAGAAATGAAATATTAGAGTTAAATAAATAAATAAAATTTACAAATGCTCTGGATTTGCCAAAGCAATTACAATGTACCTGATCCATGGAATTCACCCTGACAAATTAGGTGAGTTTCCTCTGGTTTAAGAACAATGTTGTGATGGGAGTGATGCATTAAATGTGTTGCTGGGGTGTATGGCATAAATATGAAATATTTATGGATGGGATTTGCTTCTCCCACTGGTGAATAAATCATACACAGCTTTTTCCTGAAATGAGAGGTTAGGTTTCCACATGGACCTGTCCAGGAGGAGCATTCACTGAGAAATCGAGTCATGTGAATTCATTTACCTGTCTGAAGTTTCAGACGTGGCTGCACATTGAGGTGTCTCATTTGTTTGTGCTGTGTCTGATTTCTTAGAGCACAAAGATGATGAAACTTCTCAATCAGGGCAGTCAACAGGAATTTTATCTCTGAGCTCACTGGGACCAGATTTCACCTGTAGTTTTCCACCTGTCCAGGACTGTTTGGAGGTATTTCCTTATTTTACTGCTCTGGTGAAACTTCAGGGGAAAAGAGATTATGGCACACCTACATTATGTCTCCACATCCATCCCTCTAGAAGAGTAAATATATTTATAAAGGGGAAAAAAAATCCCAAGTGATGCCACAGAGGACAGATAATTCTGAGAATGCTCCTGGAATGTTTAATTCCTGCTGAGAGCAGGAGTGATGAGAGCCCTTGGAGCACAGCAACGCTGGCGCTCCCCGAGCAAGCCACTTCAGATTAAGCCTAAAGTGCAAGGATGTTTTTCAAAATTAAAGTGTTGTTATCAACAGTAACAGCAAGCAGTGAAAAAACACCGCCCTTCACTTCAACTTTTCAATTAGAACAGTGGGTAATGTGTGCTGTCAGTGGGAAGTAGATACAATATGTTTGTCCTGCACACAACAGGAGAGTGAATAGGAACATCTGGCCATAGCCTCAGTAAAATTGCAAAGGCATCTGTTTACCTCTCGGCTCTGTGACACTGATGGTTTCAAGCTTAAAATACACAGATTACTTTATCTGTGGCCTAATTTACGCTGCTACATAAAAGCTACTTGCCTCAGAAATGGCTGCAGCCAAGCTGAGTTAGGCTGAGCTAAATGCAGAGATGGAAACAGAGCTGCATAGGCTGTGGTTGTTGTCTGACATTAGCAGAGAACTGACATTATCCAGGGTTTCAAATTGCTCCTTAAAGAATGGAGAGCCACTACTAGTATACATCTGTGTACCTATACAAAAATCTGTTTTCATGAATTCCCTCACTAATTTGCAGTTCTGCTGTGAAGCTGATTGGTGTTTTAGCAGAAACTGATAGGTACTTCATAATCTATTTTCTGTTTTAGAAGTATGAATTCACCAGATCTTAATATTTACATTTTATCTTTCCTTTTACTGATCTTTAAAAGCTCTTTTTGATTTTTAGTGTTGTATTGCATGATCTTTCCATGATCTTAATGATTCTATTCTCTTGATTACAGAAGTTGTATGCTTTGTTTGCCCTTTTATTTACAGTTTTCCTGATCACAGACACCTTTCTTCTGTTGAATTGTCAGAATTTTGGTTAAATGGATGTGTTTGTGTGGACCCTGTGCGTGGCAAATCCGTGGTTCTGTTCCTGTGCTGAGCGTGTCTTGGGCTCATCTCAGCACTCTTCCCATGGCTCTGGGTTATGGATCTTTTACTTCCTACAAGATGCTCCGTGCCAGCCCCTCCTCACATGTGCCAACAGGAATTAGGAGCTGTGATTTGCAGTCCAGCTCTCGCTGCATCCATGGGAAGCAGTTTAAGCTGTGAACTTTCACAAAGCAGCTGTAACAAAGCTGGAAAGAGCTCTCTGGAAGCGCTTCCCTCGCCCTGCTCAGGCTGGGGGATGTCTGGGAATGTGGGCTCTTGGTTCCTCTCTCTGCTCCATGCAGATTCAGGCAGAAATGTGTTCCCTGTTGGTCATAGCATTCAAGTTTTGGGGTGTATTTCATCATGGCAAGGGGAAGAAAGAACAGGATCAGGTGAAGTGGTGGCCAGGATGAAGCTTTGATCTTGAGAACAATTTAAGAACTGGAGTTCAGTGTCCTGAGGCTGGTGCTTCACGAGCTTTTAGGTCTCTGCAAGAAGCTCTTGGCTTTGGCTGAAGCATCATTCTCTAGCAAAGACACCCCCAATTTTGCTTTGTTAAACATTCCTCAGAACACATTGGCTCAGAACACCCTTTTCACTTGAGAACAGCAGGATTCCAGGAGTCTGGCACACCGAAAGAACCACTCATTAAATGCAGCTGTGTTAATCACTGCCCGTATCCCCTTGCCACAGGTGGAAATCGTAACTCACACTGGGCCTCATCGCCGCCTGTGGATGGGCCCTCAGTTCCAGTTCAAAACCATCCATCCCTCAGGCCAAACCACCGTCATCTCCTCCAGCTCCTCCGTGCTGCAGTCGCACGGGCCCAGCGACACCCCGCAGCCTCTCCTGGACTTTGACACAGATGATCTCGATCTCAACAGCCTCAGGTAAAAATAAGATCAATTTCCCAGCTGTCTCACATTTGTTATGTGTAGGACACCTCACAGTTTTTATCAGGCTTCTCCAGAGGAACGTCTTGGGAGAGTGTGTGATGCACCAACGAGAAAAATCCATCCAGGCCAAGCAGCTCAGATTCCTTTTGCTGCCCCTTCTTGGGCACATGGCAGGCAAAGACAGCACAAAGTCTGGTGGCCTTGCTCAGGTGAAATCACTATCCCTGCACCTGTTAACAGTAGGACTGGGCGTGGCACTCAGTGCCATGCTTTAGCTGATGAGGAGGTGTCAGGTTCTGGGTTGGACATGATTTTGGAGGTGTTTGGCAGCCTGGCTCAGCGTGTGGTTTGTGTGCTCGGCAGGATCCAGCCGGTGCGCTCGGAGCCCGTCAGCATGCCGGGGTCACCGCGGCCCGCGGCCGAGCGGCGCGGCGGCTCCACGGTCATCGACGCGACGTCAGGTAGGAACAGCCTCATTTTCTGTTTCGTGGTCATCAAACTGCTCTTTTGTTTTGGCTGGTAACGTGTACTAATCGTTGCTATCAAGGTTGTCCTGGTTTTCTGCACTGCAGGGTAAGTGATGTCTCATACAAATACTCAATCCCGCCATAATGATGATTTTGGTTTTTTTCTCCCCCTCTTACCACTCAAATGTGAAGTCACAGCGTTGTGGTAAGATGTGGACACACTATTTATGTAAAGTTTAACATGAGCTATAGAATGCTAAAAATTGCCTAAACTAAAAAGCAGAACATTTACAAATACTAACACTGAAATGCTTTTATTAATGAATGCCTAAAGCATAGAATATTACAGTTCCATCTCGTTTATAAAGTAGCTTTCATTGAAATGTAATCATAAATGTAATTGATTTCTGTGAACAGTCGGGACAACAGGAGAGTTTATCTAATGTTTGTGTAATAGGCACATTTTCACTGCTCTGCTCTGAAAAGAGTGTGTAGATTTAATACTACAGTGGTTGTGTTAATATCAACAGAGTAATAGATGTACTATAAAGTTCTCTTTTCCCTCAGTGCTGGGGAACAGCCTGTCTAAAGAAACAAGGGCAGCAGCAGAGCTTTATGTTCCAGTGCAGCTGCACAGTGTCTGAGGGTCCACACAGCAGGATTTTGTCAAATAAAATCTCTCACAAGTAGAATTATTAAACACACAGCATTAGTCAAACAGTCAACTTGGAGAGGATTTTAATCTTTAGTGATTTGAAAATCCCTGGAGACTCCTGATTGGATTGAGGTTAAACTGTAAAAAGAGACTCTAACACATACAGAAAGGGGTTTCTGAAGGTTGGTTTAAAGAGAGTTAAAATAAAAGCTCCTGTTTCAGACTCTGTTTGCTGTTTGATGTAAATGCTGAGTCCAAGATACTTCATTGTTTGCCAAATGAATTTATTTGGGTATTACAGGATATTTCATGTATGTGTTTATAACAGAGTTCAATAGTAACCACATTTACTTTGGATATTGAGAATTGTCCTTATAAATTCCATTTCAAATATTTAAAAGTTGTTAAATTAATTCCTGTTGGGCTTAGACAAACATCTGGTGCTGATTATTGAAGGGGAATTTTGTTTGTTTTACTACATGGCAAAGTAATTTTGAAAATAATTGTTTGATGAAGAAAATATTAATGCATCAATTATGATTTTTTTGCCTAGTTCATCAATGCTTATTGCTCCTAAATGGTTCCAAGCTAGAATCACAGGAGTGCTTCAGGCTGTATGTGTGACACTTGAGATTCAGAGTGATTAATGGCAGAGCTGTGCCTCACTATCAGCTGATAGAGAGGGAGATATCACCATTATCATGGTGGGGAGTTTTCCCTCCTGTGCAGGAGCAGTGCCTTCACCTGTACCAGGGATGTGCAGGAATTCTGAGATGTGATCATTCTGTAACTGTAGCACTTCCTAAAGCAGGTTACTCCATCTACAGCAGAAACAATGGACACACAGGACTGGCTGAGCCCCTTCCACGCTGAGCAACTTTTCCTGAGGTGTGGATGGGGCTTTAATATGAACTGACTCATGTGACTGTGATGAAGCATCATTTGTAATGCCTTTAACATGTGTGTCTAGATTAAAATTGCCAAAATCCATTGTGTACATTGTTAGGACACTGAAAATATATTTACTGTACAGCAGTGACTCAGTTTGGTTATAACACTTCATAAGTTTCTGGTAAACAATACATGGGTTTTGTTAGGGACATGCTGATGGCAGTATTTTATTTACTTCACCCAGACAGGTTGGGTTGGAATTGATTTTTGATTCAGGGATTTTAGCATCTCTTTGCAGGTTTTGTATTACCTGATCCTCACTCTTTCCCATGCAGAACTTAGGGGTTCAGATTCTAAATTGTGTGATGGTTTAGGGCTGTGAATTGTTGCAGAGCAAAGGAGACACAAGGAAAATAGATATACACTGGTTTTGAGATTTCAGAAGGCTGTTCTTGTAACAGGGCCTAGCAAAGGAAAGAAGAGTATTTTATGCTTATTTTCTTCTCCTCCCACCTCTGAGATGTGCAGAAAACTCCATTAATCTCAGCTGTGGATGGGAAGGGTTTGGTTTTAACACCACTCATGTACAGCATTGGGGTTTTGTGTTCCACTCCACCACTTCAACTATTCTCATTTCCTGCTCTTCCCATGGCGTGCCCTACACAGCTGATGCTCTTTATGGAAAAGACATTTTTAGGTTTGAAGGATTTTTAAGTAGGTCATAAATTTTTCCTGCCTGAGCTGAACCAGGAAGTTTTTGTTCAGCTCTGCCCCTGCACTGGAGCCTGTTGCACTTTATGAAGATGCTTATCTGGAGCTTTGATTGCCTGTTGCTTGGAGATACAACCCCTGTGGCGCCTCTGCTTATCTGACTCATCACTTCTTCCTATCAAAAGACTTCAAGTACATGTTTATCATCTCCCATTATCCTTCTGCCATTCCCAAGAGCTTCCTTCCTTCTCCCCCATTGGTGACAATTTGTTGTTGCATTTATTAAGCAGTTTGTGTGCCTTTTTTTTTTTTTTTTAAGCATGCTTTTTTCCTCATATGTCTATAAAACTGTGGTGTGCTTAGGACAATCTCTTAAGATCACTTGGAAAAGTCTTCTCTGGTTTATTTTTTTCAAGAAAAGTTTGCAAAAATTCAGTCACCTAAAGCTACTGGACACTTGTCCCTCAGTGCACATATTTCAGTCATGTGCATCATAGAGAGAATACACCCTCAAGGATGAAATGTAATTCCAGATGCTGTTCCAGATTGGCAGTTGGAAATGTTAAAGGGGGACAACAGTGAGTTTAAATGTTTGTAAAGCTTTTTGCTGATAGTGCAGCAGCAGAACCACTGCAAGCAGAGGGTGTCTGTCCCTCCTCCCCAAAGGTGTGCTTAGGCTCTGGGCTTGCCTTTGACACAGGTGGGTTAAGCCTTAGTAAGTCAGGTTCTATTCATGAGCCCAGAAATGAAAGAGAAACCTTAAAGAGTCCTCCTGTGTGCAGGTGATGCTGCAGCTGAAGGTCACACTCTTTACACACCCAAACCAACCAGGCATCTCTGTGATTTTCATTCTATGACCTGTTACAGAATGACATACATCATACATGTTACATATCTGAAAAATCAAACCTGGTGGGACTCTCTGAATGATGAATGATGCAGAAATTAGGGTGTGGGCAGGTTAGGATGTCTGTACAGTCAGCTCTGGGCTTTCAGAGCTAGAAGAGCTCCAGGGAAAGGATTTTGCAGCAGTTGCTGTCAGCGAGTTTGCCCACAGAGCTGCACTGAGTGCACACAGAGTGTTTCCCTTCAGCTGCACCCCAGGTGTGGGCTCAGGTCCTCAGGTGTGCTCCGTGCCTCAGTCCTGCTCATTTAAGAGAAGTGGCTGCATCTGTGTGTCTGTCTATGGAAAGCCTTGTTTATTCCCTCACACAAAGAGGTTTTGGGCACTTACCCATCAGCCAAGTAATGATTTGGTTGCATTGCTAGTGGAGGATGAGAACATTGACACAGAAATTGTCTAATCTCTTTTTTTGCATCAGCCTCTTCCTGCTGGGAGGAGATCACAGAATAGAATCATAAATCTGTTTCTTTCTTGCCTAGAATAAATGCTGAAATTGAGTGGGAAGCATTTCAGTGAATGGCATTATTTAATGAATAAAATTAATTTGTAGGAGAAAAAGATCCAGAGGATTCTTTTCCTCATTTTAATTGTGTATGTGGGGCGGGGGGAACCTTAATGTTCTCAACTGAAGCCTGGCGAGTGCTGGGCTGCTGGGGGATGCACACATCATTTTTTAATGAAGATTGTTTATTACTGTTGTATGAAACTCTGACAATACTAAGCTCTCTTCTGGTTACTTCAATCAATGCCCACTTAAAATCAGCTTGTAATTTAGTACTTCCCTCTCTTTTCTGTGTGACTGGCTGGTCATGGACAGAGAGCTCTGCCTGCAGAGGGTTTAATGAACAGAAGATTTCACTGAGGCTTTGTGGGGGAGGGAGTTGTCCTTTTATTGTTCATCACCACACCTGTGAGGCAGAAACCATGGGACAATTTTTTACTGTCCAGCAATGCTCTCACTTGGAATTTAATAAACATTTCTGCTGTCACACCTTAAACCATCTGAGCTCCTTTCTGTTGTATGCACAATCAAATATTTATTCCCAAACGCTGTAGACCACAAAGTGCTGCCTGGGAGCAGTGCAGATCAGTTATTCAGGTAGTAAAGATGTGTGAATGCAGCTGGCAGATGAAGTCACCAACATTGTGAATTCCCAGGCTGTCCCTGCTGCCACAGGCAATAAATGCCAGGCTGAGCCAGGGCTGGGCTCCCATTCCAGGAGCTCTGGTGTCACTCTGCTCGAGCTGCCCTGCTTGAGTGGAGCCAGCCAGGGCTGCAGGGACATGAAATCAATCCGGGCTGCAGTCCTTGACCTGCACCTGTAATTACCTGCATGGGATAAAGGTGGTTTGTTGTGGCAGATAGAGATTGCACTCCGGGCTGCAGAGGATAATGCTGAGCTTTGAAGGCAAGGAAGGGGTTTGGCCCCTGGGCTGTTCTTCACAGTAATTGAGAGGTTTTAATAATGGGCAGAGAACAAGCTGCTCTTAGGGGCCATCACCTGCTCAGGAACACAAAAAAACCGGCCCAGCGCTGCTTGGTCTGTAGTTACTCATCCTGTCAGCCTAAATTTACATGAGTTTAAGTTATGTTTCTTTCCTGGAATAACTTCTGTGCTGATCCTGTTAATGTATGTATTTAAAATGCTTATTGTGTTACCTATTTGCTTACCATTTTATGTATTATTCCCTGACTAGTGACAGCATGTGGGATATCTCGGGTACCTTTGTTTCCTCACATGTGCTCCTTTTCTCTCCATCCAGCTCATCTGCCTTGCTAAGTGTGTCTGTGTGCATGAGCTGCATAATGCAAAATTCTGGTACTTAGAATGT